GGCCCGCCCACCTGTCCTTGGGCAATCGCCCGCCACGCCTTTGATGATAATTGATTCATTAAGATGTCAATTAAGCGGGAGGCTACCCATTGTAATGCCCCGATGCCAGGGGGCGCTCTGCAGCTCCGACCTCCCCTAATACCGCAGCCCAAGCCTCGCAGATGGCATCTGGGTGTTCCTATAATCACCGGCCCCACACTGGGCCCCAGAACCATCTGTACAGGACCCCACTATGATCCTCTCCGCCGTCATCCAGGCTACCTAGCCCCCCTGAAGCTACTTTCCCCTCTTGGGTGTGGTCCCCCCGGGACCTTCGGCCACTTGCCCTGGCCCACCTCCAGGCCAGTCAGGACCCCAGGCCCCCGGCTCTTGGGCGTCCCTTGCGGTGGGCCTCTGGCCCTTTTGACCCTCTTGGTCCTGGCCCCAGCTTGGCATAGTCCTGGCCCCAGCTTGGGCCAGTCGAGGGTACTCTCCCTTCGGCCTGGGTCTCTCTAGCCCCTCACTCGCATCCTCGGACCTCACCATGCCACTACTCCCTTTCTCCTAGGGGCAAACGCAGCACCACGCCCTGTATTCATCCACTCTCTCGGGGTGAGCCCTCTCTGGGCCCCTCACAACACTGGCCCACTGGGCCCCCCAAAAAACACATGGGTAACCCACCCGGTGGTGGTGGGAGCTAGGGGTTAAGGCGCTCCGACCCGCCTTTCACCGGGGTGATAACTGGCCTGGCATTTCCTGGGGGCTCCCGCGCCACTGAGAGCCCCACCAGGCCACCCACTCCCAGCAGGGTGCAGTTTCAGGTCATGCCCAGGACCAGGAGCCTCCTTACCAACACCTTGCAGCTCCCCCTTACCTCCGGGTTGTTCTCAGCAGGCCTATAGCCAGGCGATGTTGCTGCCTCGCCTCTTGCAGCCAAACTGCCTTGTTTATATAGGCAGCCCTTGCCTCAAAATGGCTGCCCTCATCAGGCACCTGGAGGCTGACAGCTCCAGGCCCTTAAAGTGGCAGACACACCATGTGCTCTGCCACACCAATACACCTTAGTTCATCTCCTCAGGTGAAATAATTTAGATTGGGTTGGCCATTTTTTGCCCATTTTAACTTTCCCAAATGTCTGTACAGATCAGCACTTACAGATTCATAGTTTTATTTTGTAGGGTCGGAAGGGACCTGAGCAAATCATCAAGTCCAACCCCCTGCCATGGCAGGAAAGAGGACTGGGGTCAAACGACCCCGGCAAGGTGTTCATCTAGCCTCCTCTTAGAGATTCCCAGGGTAGGCGATAGCACCACTTCTCTTGGAAGTTGATTCCAGATCCTAGCCACCCTGACAGTGAAGTAGCACCTCCTGATGTCTAGTCTAAATCTACCCTCTGTCAGCTTGTGACCATTATTTCTTGTCACTCCTGGGAATGCTCGGGGGAACAGGGACTCTTCCAATGCCTGTTCTGGTCCCCTGTGACTAGTTTGTAAATGGCCACTAGATCCCCCTTCAGCCTTCCTTTGTGGAGGCTGAACAGGTTCAGGTCCCTTAGCCTCTCCTCGTAGGGCCTGCCCTGCTGACCCCTGATCATGCGAGTGGCCCTCCTCTGGACCCTCTCCATGTTGTCCACATCCCTCCTGAAGTGCGGCGCCCAGAACTGGGC